TTTTCAGATGACAGTGGCGGTCTGCAGCTCTGCATGCATGGCTGCCCACGCAGTGAGCTCATTAAAGAGCACACACTGGGCCGTCAGAGCCAGCAGCCCCGTCTGCAGGGCACCAACCCGGAGCTGGGTCCTCTGAGGCCTCACCAGGTCTACACAGTGGACCGGGCCACGGCCAAGTGTAGAGAGACTCTGCAAGTGGAGGATGTATACTTTCAGTCCTGCGTGTTTGACTTGCTGACCACAGGAGATCCTGAGTTCTCCATGGCAGCATTTGGTGCTCTGGAGGATTTAAAGGCACTGCCACCCAGTAAACTGAAGCAGAACTCCCCAAGGACTCCTCGTCTTTACAACCAGGGGGTGTCACGCACATCGCCTGCAGAAGCAGCCAGCAGCTCCCTGATCTCACTCCTACTCCTCATTCTTCTGCTTTGGTAAAAAAAATGCAAAAATACCATTAACTATCAATGAGGAATAAACATGAAGTCATACATAAACATATTATGGAAGCCTTACCGGCTTGTGTAAAGAGTGACTAGAGCTCAGATGTTTTTTATATATATATTTGTATTCTTTTCTCCTTTTTTTCCAGTTTGAATTTGTGATTTTGTCATTTGAAGGATTTCACACTCAAAGATTTCTTCATCCCACTTGTATTTTCTGTGGATTCATTAATTGTTTGGAGAAAAACAAAAATACAAAAACAGCTTCACGTAGCTTGGGGTCAAATGCAGCATGTTGTTTTCATATGCTCAGTATTAATTGGTTCCAACAGTATTTAAAATGGTTAAACTTATAATTGTGTGGCTGCTGACCTCAAGGCAGCTAAATGGCTAAAAGATTTTGTAAACATTTCATTGTGAAAATGCACAACCTCCAACCACTCCATATACCGGGATGCCTATGTCACGCTGTACTGTGTGTAAGCTGTTTTTTATTTTTATTTTGGTACAGTGTTATGTGGCTTCTAGATTCTCTATAATCCAGTAATAACAGTAGCACTTACAGGTATTAGCAGCAAGTTTTGTCTATTTAAATGTTATTTCTTTATGTATTTTGACAGCCATTCAAGAAATCAATGTGCTAAACACACAGGATCCAACAACTGTATGTAAAAAAAGCTACCTATCTGTCGTATATGATTTCATAGTGATATTCTCAATAGTTCTTATTCTTCTGTGAAACACACTCCCTCTTCCTCTTCAAGCTGTTTGGCTTCCAGTTTTAAAGGTAAAAAACACAAATCTTTATATAATAATATATTAAGAGTGTATATATGTTATATTGTGTACATTTGCCTGTGTATAGATGTTTTAACTAATGTTGTACCTTTGTTGTTCTGTAGGCTTTTGACTAAGTGAAACTAAACTAATATTTGTTGTTGTATCTGTAATTTTCTGTATTAAAGTGTCGGACACTCCATACTGGCATCTGTTTTCCTCCAGTTTATTTCTCCTTTATCTCTGTCTCTCTGTCCTATGAACTTCTGCTGTTACTGTAGCATTAATAGGAAAATGTATTGACTGCGTATGGGTTAAGACCTCAGACTCATATGATGACAAACAAAACAAACCATTTCCAAAACCGCATTAAACAGTAGCAGTGATTTCTAATTTGTGTTCTAGTAATACCAGCTCTGTCCTGGTGGGGTCCTTAATTCATAAGCTCTGACAGCTCATAGTATAAAGACAGTTTTGACAACCTGCCTGTGTAGCTGTAGGGGTGCACAGTATGTTCTCAGTCCCCAGTGTAAATGTTCCCTCTGTGTGCTGAGCTGGCTGCTGGCTTGACTTTAGTCTGCCAGAGCACCTCACGGCTCCAAATAGGATTTAGTCTGTGGTTAAACACCTGGTTAAAGACAACAACATCAGCGCACAGTGCTGATATTGGCACTATATATGAGCAATGAGTGCTGTGGGATGAGATCAGTTTTTATCACCATCAAAAATGCAATTAAGACAGCTCCAGCACCCTCCTTATGAAGACATTAAGAATTAATGCTCTGTAATTAGATTTAATTTATATCTTGAATTGAGCTGAAAGTAACTGAGTGACGGCATGCTTTGTCACATGTCCAGTCATACTTAATCTGTCCATGGCCCACTTCTTCAGATAAAGACAGCACCTCAGTGAGCTGCGTGGTGTATGAGGTGGCCAGCAAAATACAGTCTTTTCACACAAACACATTTCAAGTGGTCTAAATGGAGTCTTCCTTGATTAAATTCCTCCCCTCATTTTTAATTTTAGGAGGACAGTAGGGATCAGGAGAAGGAGGGGTTGGTCGATAGGTCTGCTCTGTCACAGTGCTCAGGGGTGGAAAGTAACTAAGCACATGTACTCAAGTGCTGTGAAAAAGTATTTTCCCTCTTCCTGGTTTCTTACATTTTGCACATCTGTCATACTTAAATGTTTCAGATCATCAACTTACAGTGCTGTGAAACAGTATTTTCCCTCTTCCTGGTTTCTCACATTTTGCACATTTGTCATACTTAAATGTTTCAGATCATCAAACTAATTTAAATATTAGACAAAGATAACCCAAGTAAACAAAAAATGCAGTTTTTAGGTGATGATTTTATTAATTAAGGGAAAAAAGCTATGCAACCCTACATGGCCTTATGTGAAAAGATAATTCTCCCCCTTGTTAAATCATGAATTTACTGTGGTTAATCACATGTTTTGGAAAGATGAGTTCAATTTCACCAGCCACACCCAGGCCTGATTACTGCCAGACCTGTTGAATCAAGAAATCACTAGAACCTGTCTGACAAGGTGAAGTAGCCGAAAGATCTCAAAAAGCAAGACATCATGCCGCGATCCAAAGAAATTCAGGAACACATAAGAAACAAAGTAATTGACATCCATCAGCCTGGAAAGGGTTACAAAGCCATTTCTAAAGCTTTGGGACTGCAGCGAACCACAGTGAGAGCCATTATCCACAAATGGCGAAAACATGGAACAGTGGAGAACCTTCCCAGGAGTGGCCGGCTGACCAAAATTACCCCAAGAGCGCAGCGCCAACTCATCCAAGAGGTCACAAAAGGCCCCACAACAACATCCAAAGAACTGCAGGCCTCACTTGCCTCAAGTTAAGGTTATTGTTCATGACTCAACCATAAGAAAGAGAATGGGCAAAAATGGTTTGCATGGCAGAGTTCCAAGACGAAAACCACTGCTGAGCAAAAAGAACATAAAGGCTTGTCTCACTTTTGCCAAAATACATCTTGATGTTCCCCAAGACTTTTAGGAAAATATTCTGTGGACTGACTAGACAACAGCTGAACTGTTTGGAAGGTGTGCGTCCTGTTACATGTGGCGTAAAAGTAACACAGCATTTCAGAAAAAGCACATCATACCAACAGTCAAATATGGTGGTGGTAGTCTGGGGCTGCTTTGCTGCTTCAGGACCTGGATGACTTGCCGTGATTGATGGAACCATGACTTCTGCTCTCTACCAAAAAATGCTGAAGGACAATGCCCAGCCATCAGTTCATGAGCTCAAGATGAATCGCACTTGGGTTCTGCAGCAGGACAATGATCCAACACACACCAGCACGTCCACCTCTGAATGGCTTAAAAAAAACAAACAAAATGAAGGTTTTGGAGTGTCCGACCCGTGACCCTGTTTGGGACTAAGTGGTATAGAAAATGGATGGATGGATGGAGTGTCCTAGTCAAAGTCTGGACTTGAATCTGATTGAGATGCTTTGGTGTGACCTTAAAAAGGTGGTTCATGCTCAAACCCTCCAATGTGGCTGAATTAAAACAATTCTGCAAAGAAGAGTGGGCCAAAATTCCCTTACAGCAATGTAAAAGACTCATTGCCAGTTTATCGCCAATGTTTCAGAGGCAAGCATTGCACTTTTTGCTGTACTGCTTTACTCTCTGGTTATTTTTCAGACTGTGATTTTACATTAATAAGCTTAAAACAAAACCAACCACACAGAAGATTAAACCAGTGGTTCTTGACCTTTTTATTTTAGCCTGTGACTTCTCACATTGGCCCCTGTCAGGTTCAAGACCCAGAGATAAAATGATCATCCCAAATTAATATTATACAAAAAGGAGCTGCAACTAACAGTTATTTTTGTTTGATTAATAAGATGATTATCTTGATGGTTTATTTAGAAAAGGAGTGAAAAAGCCTGTCACTATTTTCTAAAGCCCAAGATAATATCAAATGTCTTGTTTTGTCTGAGCAAGTCTCCAAAGTTAAAACTATTGTAATTTAGAAGCTAGAGTGAGTTAGGGTTTGCTTCAAGCTGGTCTTTGATTCATGTTATCTGCAGAGATGCAGTCACCTGACAGCACTGTCAGGCAGTACTAGCCTTATGTAATATCCCCTTGTGAGAGTGCCCTCTCTGTCTGCTAAATGGTGGTGAGTTTTTGACAACTTGTGAACTTTTTAATTGTGGAAAGGTCTTGAGTGTCATTAAAAACTTCTACCATTAAAAATGTGGAACTGAAAAAGATGTAAAAACTTTACAGACATAGAGGAGTCCTGTCTTTGAATTAGCATGAAGGATTTACAGTAGCATAGGCGTGCAGGAAATTGTATGCCTGTATAGATTACCTGTCCATCTTCTTTGAGCCCTCCTGTCTTGACTTTCCCCTGTAAACAAGGACAATTACCAAGCTAATGAGGTGAGAAAAAAATACTTGAGTGATTGATACTCTCAATGGGGAAATTAATTTGGTATTAATAAAGCACTTGGCAAGATAAATAGATTGTGTGTGAGTCCTCTTCTTGATTGATAATGGATGGATTGATGGTTGTCTTAATCCAAAATGTTCCTTAAACTTAAATGAGCTAGCCTCCATGAGGAGAGACTTTTGTAATGGACGATCGAGGGGCAGCACGATGGGTAGCGCCACTGCCTCACAGCCAGAAGGTTGCGGGTTTGCGACCTTTCTGTGTGGAGCAAGTTCTCCCCGTGCTTGCGTGCGTTCTCTGGCTTCCTCCCACTGTCCAAAGACATGCGGCTTAGGTTGATTGGTGTCTACATTGCCCGTAGGAGTGAATGTGTGTGGTTGTTCGAAGGACCGGCGACCTCTCCTGGGTGAGAGAGAGAGACAGAGAGTTAAAGACTCTTTCAGCTGCTCTTGTGAGATTGTGTTTGTCTCACAAGTGGTTCCCTAAATGATCACCTTGTATCCTTCCCACAGTTTCTGACAATTCCTAAGACCTGCTAACCCTCTCTCACTGAAGCATTTGCTTAATGATGCACTCAGAGTCTGATTGTTGCACCAGGTACAGGATGTCCAACATACACATGCATTACACCCTGTTACACGGGTCACTGCTGCAGGACAAAGAGCGTGAAGTTACTCATTTCTCAGGGAGTAGGGGTGTGTGTGTGTGTGTGTGTGTGTGTGTGTGTGCGGGTTTGAGACAGCTCTTTTCTAGTTGCAGCGATTATACAGCTATCTCATACTGCAGGCTCGCTCATACCTGACCAACTCAATCTTTCTGTGTCTCCTCAATAATCACAGTGACAGCAAGCAACAAGACATATATCTCACCCACTGGCTCATTGCAGAATGGGTATTGACCTACATATCAAATCATATGCTCCTGGCTTGTGTGATAGAGATGAGGACGTGGGGAGAATAATACTATGATTGTCAGTCCTACTTTAGTAAACATCCCCCTGGGTTTCTTCATATGTATTCTCTGATAGGCAAAATGCCATGTCTACAGAAACCCTGCAAGCCATGGATTCCTGCCATTTCAGCAATGTTTTCTTTGCAACTGTAACAGTAGAGAACAGCTGAGAACATCTGGTTGTCTGAGTGTGTATTTTTATTAACGAGCCTGTGTCACTAAACTTTTTAACAAATGGCCCCCAGGCACCCTGACGCCCCGAAAAACCCTACTCTAAAATTAAGCATCTGCATCATAAATCTTGGAAAGTTACAATAATTTGCAATTCACTCCCTCATCAAAGGCAATATTACCCTAATTTATTATCTCCCTGCATGAGGGGTGCGCAAAGGCCGTGGAGATAAGAGTTTATCAGGAGGGGGATTGATTTTCATTAACTGATTGTAATAAAGATGAACTGCCTGTCGTGCACACTGACCAAGAGCCACACTTTATTGTAATTGGGACAATTTATTTCATGAGCCAGTGGCTCTACTTTTTTGTCCATCCAGTTCTTTTTTTCATATTTGTCTCTGCTGTTCAAAATGTGCATGTGGTCTCTCAGCTGCTTCTGTTGCTGTATGAAGATGATGATTACAAGGTACATGTGGAGAGGCAAGTCAGCTGATGTGACATCACATTTAGCTTTGGGGATCAAAGCAATGCAATAGTTATCTATTTGGAGTTATCTTGATTAATACTCAATGTCTTCCTCATATGAATCTGCTTCCTGCTTGTCACAGTTATGTTATTTGTTAGCCCTTTCTTTCTTACAGCATCTCCATGACACCTTCCAACTGAGAAGGTTTGATATTTATGTGCAGTGGTTTTGTTGTTGTATTCTGTTCCCATCTTATGAAGTATGTCCTGACACATAATTCAGGTGTCTCCCTGCAGCAGAGCAGCAGCAGGTGACCCACTAACTGGCAAAGCAACAAGCTTCCACGATGACAGATAAACTAAATCACCTTACAAACTATGACACTGAGTTTCCATATGAGAATGAAATCACTATATTTTCACCACTGAAGCTTCCAGCATTATATGAATTCCAGAGTAGACTCCTGCCTGCTGAAAGAGCAACAGAAATAACATGTTTTGAAAAGCTGTGGATGTCAAGCAGTAACCTATTTCTTCTTTAAAGGGCCATGACACTATCATCACAGTTTCATCACACAACATGGATAAGGTGTCAGGAGCAGACTCTGAAGTGTTGAGCTCTGAAAGATTGCTACAGCTGCATCCTGCAGACTTTAAAGCTGCAGCAGAAGCTGAGAGGACCCGTTCTTTGTGCAACTACTCCCCCACTCATTGCATTGTAGTTCAGTGCTCCTTTCAACATAATTGTGAGAAACAAAACATCTTTTGTTTTTTTATTGTAAAATTGGGGAAAAAAAAGAGAGAAAGAGAGAAAAGCCCCAATAAGCATTTCCTTTTGTTACATATCTTTATCATACCATAACAATAAAAGAGGTAAAATAAAAAAAATGACTAAATTGATTTAAATAAATAAACATCAAGTTAAATACTTGACCGAATAATTAATTATAAAATTATTAAATCATCAATCAATAATATGAAGTAATCTAAGCAGCAATTATTAAGAAATTTTAACAGGGGAAACTGTTTGGTTTCTCAGGCTAATACAGAACACAGTTTTTTTAAAGTTTTCTTTTATATAAAAAAAGATACTGCTTTCCCTGTCAGTTAATCCATGCTGTACTGACACTGCCACAAAAAGAGGTGGCGCTGCCTTTTAAAAAGAAAAAGAAACATAAACAATACAACCTGTAAACAGCATTTTCTCCTCCAGGTTTAAAGAATAGTACTGAGATTCCTCTTTTTGCGCCCTTGTAAAGTCTTCAGTAAAGTCTACTCCACAGACTCCATACTGTTGTTTTGATGTTTTTGTATGCTTTGTGCTAAAAAACCAGAAAGTTAACATCTTTATATACCCCCCCACCCCACCCCGCCCCCATCACATTCAAACCCTCACACTACTATATGAACCAGAAGGAAGGTCCTGTGCTGATTTTCAATAATATACAGATTTCATATTTATAATAAGCTACTATCCTTAGCATTCAAACCATAGTTAAAGAATCATATTGTTAATACAAGTAGTACTATAGTAATAATCTTTAACCCTCCTGGTCCCCATTGAGCATGCTCAGAGGTTGAAAGGACACTATGGTGGGATGACAAATATATATATGGAAAAAATAAAAAAGCATTGCAGAAGATAAAATTGAGCACAACCACATGCAGCTTCATCATAACTACTAGCACCATTGTTGCCATTTCTTTCTTTCTTTTTTTGTGGATTTTTGTGTAAATGTTAAACAGCTAAATTATCTAGTTTTCTGTCATTTTATTATTTTCATTTCCCCCTTCTCTGAATCATAGAGCAGATATTTATTTATAGACTTAAGCACTTTATACACAACTACAAAATCAGTCAGGTCTGAAACTATTTCCATCCACAAATCTTCACTGTTCTAATTGTGTTCTATCTTTTTATTTTTCTTGGCAGAGTGAAATTAACATCTTTTCAAACTCATTTAATTTTAGCCACAGCTGACATCTTTAATCTGTATGAACCAAGCTGTTGTGAAGGCCAAATTTAATTTGATTTTAATAATTTAAAAAAATGTCCA